ACCATCTTGTCCCATCAAGCGTCTTTTATCCTAATGCTTTGTCTAACTTAAACCGTACTAGATTCGCTTCAAATGGAAATTTTCTACTACCTACTATCCGCACTAATTTTGGTCGCCACACTGCATATTTCTCAGCATTATCATTATAGAATTCATTGCCATCTCACATCAAGCAATGCTCGACTATTCGCACATTTAAAAAACAATTGTATTCGTACTTGATAAACTACTAGATGTTTTTATCTTGTTATATTGTTTATTCCACTCTTCTTTTTACTTGTTTCTTAGTTAGTGTTGGTTTTATCAATTTACTCATCTCTCTGTTTTCACTGCTACTGCTAATTGAGTAAATTTTGTTCTCCCATTTTGAACAGGAGGTCCCCTGCAGCCTTGTGCTTTTGGACCTCCTCCTGTATATATACTTTGTATACTGTTCCTTTTTCTGTACTAATAACTGAAATAAACTGAAACACTGAAAAAAATTGAGTGGCACATGGATCACACGCGTCTCTTGTCACAAGGTGCTACCACGTGTCAGTGCCACACTCCATAGTCTGGTAACATTGCACAGTAGCCACATCAGCATGCAGGGGAGTCATAAGGAAAAGTGTTTTCATTTCATCATGTGCGCTCCACATCATGATGCCTGTTGACTTAAGCTTTTCTTTTTTATGCAATGCCATTCCTCCATATGAGGAGCTTGCTGTGCTTGACAAGCCCCTCTAGCTTTATTCATTTTTAATAGATTTGAGAAATTTTTGTGCATTCACGAGACAATAAAGCTACGACATAGAGCTTTTTCAGTACAGTATGCGCAAAATGTATTGGACCAGAAAGTATAAAAACAGGCTCTTTGCAACCTGTAACAGCACATACAGAGAAGAAATTTGGTGTTGTAACAGTGCCATTTTCGCATGGTAAGAAAGGAGTTAAGTAAAAGCGAGAAAGCAGGTTCATCAATGGCAGCTAATAATACCTGGGGTTTAACATCGCAAAACCACAACGTGATTCTGAGGGATGCCGTATTGGAGGGTGCCGAAAATTCAAACCACCCCGTCAGTGTTCATAACATACACCTTAACCGATGTACAGGCTGTTTCACACTTGGGGGAAATCTCAAAGCATGTGGCATAGTGATGCGGCCAGCCCTGCAATGACGCGCTGTCAGCAGCACGTGTGTGTGCAGATAATTCAGGAGTAGTTTTAAACCACGTCGTCTCATACGGTGGCTCTTGCTTGCTGCATTGCTGGCCAGCGCGCGGATATCATTGTTAGTGCAGAGACTGGGTCGATAATCTGCTCTAAACGTTGCGTGACACCAACCTCTCAGCCTTTGCTTGTGATAATGGGGTGCTACAATCAGAATTTGACAGCATACCTTGTTTGCTCTCTCGAAACGCCGTGGTGCTGTGTGCTTTCATGAATATTTCTTCATTGTGTGTGCACTGCAGTACACTTGGATGAGGAAGACACGACAATTAGTATGCAAGGTGTGTTGTCTTGATCTGACTGAATAAAAAAAAGCACTCAACAGTTAGAGTCGTGCTGATGCACTGGCTTAGCACGATAAAACAAATGGGAAAAAGTTCGGGAATGCTTTAGGTGAGGACAAAGCCTGAACGGATCTCTTTACAATGACATTTCATTACCACAAGACTCGCTAGCCGGCTCCGAAATGCAGTGTAGTTTTTGCATCATAGTTCAATAATCATAAGTCGCTGTTTTTCTAGTATACAGGACATGGTAAACCTGGCAAACAACGCAGTATTGCTCTTTTCAGACAAGAAAAAAAAAAAGGAAAAGTTACTTCAGACGAGCACTTGTTTAATTCAGCTCAATCTGGATCTAGTGATGCCAGGCCCCCCTTCGTCAATAAATCGGACATGCTGCGGCGAAACACATCGCTGACACGATGCATTCACTGCCGTCTAGAATGAGCATCGCTACCGCTGGGGACATGAACTTGGAGGCGTCACACGTACATTTTGGCGCCGGAAGATATAGTCCTTTCTGTTGCAATCAAATATCGTCGAGAATAAGCACGTTCAAGTGGTTGTTCTATTTTAAATAATTCCTGCATTCACTCCCATTTGTTTTTTTACAGTTAACCCCATCAACTGCTCAGTAGTCACAACTGAGTGCTTTGTTTTATTTAAAGTCAAATAGAGACCACACATGGTGCATGCTCATTTTCGCATCTTCCTCATAGAAGCTTACTGTGGCACCCACACATGATGAAGAAACATTTGTGAACGCATTCGGTGCCACAATGTTTAAATAGAGCAAAGAAGGCTTGCGGTCAAATATTGTTTCTAGTGTCCCATTATCACGAATAAAGGCAGAGAGGTTGGCATCGCACAAAGTTTAGTGCAGACAAGCGTTGAAAGTTTGGAAAGTTGGTATGGGAACATCTGGAAAAAAAAAAAAAAAAAGAACTGCGCAGCAAGAAGGCACACAAAGGAAGAAAGCGCATGCGAGTTTGTTGTTCCTTGTTTCTTCGTATCTCAAAAGAACCCCAGGTGGTCAAAATTTCCGGAGCCCTCCACTAAGGCTCTCATAATCATATGGTGGTTTTGAGATGTTAAACCCCACAAATCAATCAATTTCTTCGTATCTTATCTTACGGCACAGATTTAAAAAAAAATTATTAGTGCGAAATATAGGCCTAGTTCCCGCATTAACCATGATATCCGTGCACTGGCCGACAATGCGGCCGACGAACACAGAGCCATGAGAATTTTTCGAAACGGTGCAGCAATAGCCGAGTTAGACCTGTTTGATTATCAAAACACTGCAATCACTGCTTTTGCTTTTTTCCTTCGCTACCCTCCGCTTGTATTCTCTCTCAAAGCTGCTTTGTCTTCTCGCCGACTGCCCATCCGGGTGTTTCTCCGCCGATCACAACAGATGCCTTCTTGACTTACCCCCCCCCCCCCCAAATACACACTTTTTGTTTACTTTGCAATTTTTCACTCTCCTCCCATTACCTCTCCTCTTTTACCTTACTTCTTTTTCTTCACTCTCACTATCCCTTCGGTGCCTGCAGTCGCCGCTCCCCAGCGAATGTATCAGTTGAGGTGTCCTCGCATCACAGACAGTTATCGTGCATTCCACATCCTATTTTCTTACATTTCCTTCCCAAAAAATCAGTCCTCCCCCCTCCTTCCACTCCTGTGTGGCATGCAGGTGCACGTGCGGTCTTTGCTTGCCTAGAAGAACGTGTCCTGCAGGATAGTGGCGCACGTGGGCAGCACGCCGGACAACAACAAATGTGGAAAGCTGCTTGCAGACTAACCGGTTGCTTGACCAATTGCAGCCCGAATGCGCTGCACATGATGCCCGTGTTCACTTGAAATGTTTAAAAAAATATAATAGGTGCTTTAGGGGCCCTTCAAGGGTGTGTGCTGTGCTATAATGCTTGGCACACATGCTCTCAGGAGCCTAGACAACTGGATTGGCAGTATTTTCTGGCCATGTTCGAAAAGTGTTGGAGGGCCCCCCTAACGTCTTGGCAAGATTTATCAAAGATCATGTCAGTAACACTTATCTGGATGTATTATTTCAGTCAAAAACAGCATTTTGATTATGTGGTTAATGTATCACTTACTTCAGCAGAGAAAAGGCACTTATCTCTAACTGGCCATCAGATGAGAAGGCTCTGTTTTGAGGTAAAGCAAAGGCAAATGTTGGCTTCACATTTACTGCTAAGAAGTTGTGAGTGCTTCTGCTCCAGAATTTTTTTGAAAACCTTCTAGCTTTTCGATTTGTTGGCCATTATGTGTCTATAAAATGTCGATACGTCAAATATTTTGCACAACCCCTCAGTTCTTATCAAAGCAACAGATACTGGCAAATGCTTGTGTGCCATATGTTTCATTGCGAACTTTGGATTCCTGCAGTTTGCAGCATTTCTTTTCAACAGGTGTTTAGCTCTAATCAGTTGGCTTGAATTCCTAACATCATTGTAGCGACTATTGCTAATGAGCTCAAGGAAACACATTGAGAGTTTGGAGCATGTTGAATGAAAAAAATTCCTTAATATGAACTTGATCAAGTCAAAATACAGCTTCAAGTCAAGGTGCATTTCTGAATACAGGTGTTCAACATGTAAACCAAGAGGGTGCATAAATGGAATTTATTAGAGGGACCACTAGAGGCAAATAACAACTTATGTCAGAGTTAAATATCAATGTGATTATCATCAACAGTAGTGCTCTACTTAGAGAAATTAAGGTAACTGTATATACAACACCATATGTGCCACGAGTGGCACATTTTGAAATGATCCCAATGACGTCAAAGAACCCGACTGAAATTAACAAGTAATCAAGCCAGTTATAAAAAAAAAGAGAACCATTCATGAATAACAATTAGCAATAAAATGTTGCTTGTCTGTTTATGTTTGGTTCATAGAAAAACTCATTTGGTGTTACCATGGGGAAAAACAGGTTTGGTAAAAAATTTATATTTTCACCTGGTTAGATTGAATAGGTGGTTCCATTCAGCAGGGCCCTCTTCAATAGGCAAGCACAAAACATTTATAGCAAGAACATTGTGCATTCTACTTCTGGTTGGAATGCGTTGCAGCAGCATAATTACGAATTAGTTGCCTTCTGAATAATTTTTTTCCTGCAAAAAAACTAGGCAAATACAAGCATGACTATGACTGTGCTTGCACGAAGCGTCATAAGATGTCAACACCATTGCTCAGTAACCCTGCATTCCTACAACCGTTTGTGTATGTCAGCGGCAGAGCAGTAAAGGCGGGCAACGTTGGGCAAGGAAACGGCTACCGAGGACTCTTTTTAGGTGTCCGTTTTGAAGTGTGCTAACGCTGTGCGAACCACTAAAACACGATTTTATTTAAAAATAAGCATTTCCTTGGCAAGAAAGTAGCACTATGAGGTTTCTGAATCACTATTCTGTTCAGCCACCAAAATCGACCCAGTATTTGCCCCTAGCGTTCATTAAAAGGCCCATCTCTAGGGGTTGATGCTTACCTCCAAGGTTTTTTTGCAGTTGTGGTGCAGCAGCCTTAATAGCTGGGGCGCTAGCAGTGGCATTAATAGGGCCACTGGCTGGTGGGCTTCCAGTGCTGCTATTGCTCGCAGTGGATGCAGAGGAACTTTTGCTAGTACTATTGCTACTTGCAGAAGGTGCTTGTCTCTCCTGCCGGAGGAATTCTTCTGTGTACTCCTGAAAAGTAAAATGAGGAAGAAGATATACTAAATGTGTTTGCTAGATGATTCATAGTCACCAGAGACCTAACCTGTACGCCCACTGCAGTCTGCTACAGCATATGCCATTCAACAGCAGCACATAAGAAGAGCCAATTGTTTTGCCATTTTTTTTTTTGTAAAATACAATTTGCGATGGTCAAAAACTGATACTGTGGCCAAAATATTAACTCAGGACGTAGGAAACTGTCAGTCATTCGAAGCAATGCCTATATGTTACCAAGGTACCACTTCAAAAAACATTGACTTTTCAGTGATTTTTCTTTTATCTGAGACCAGGGCCCTCCCTCTAAATTGGTAATGCAGTAGGCTCTTCATAGTTAAAAACTCTTGGGCGAATCCCGATTTTCTTTGAGTTATGAGGAGTTCTCATTAATATGAGTCTGGGCAACTTAACTTACATTGTAAATAAACAATGGTTCACATATGGAACATACATGCTAACCTGGCACCCTGAAATTTGGAAGATTTGTATAGTGCTGGGGGAGAAGGAAGCAAAGAAAACTGCTGTTTGTTTATTTAGGCCTCCAACAGTTGTAAAGACAGCTCTCAATGATTGCATTGCTAGTAAAGTGTCTAGACCTGAGCAATTATACTGCCACTTATTATATGATGCACGCATGCATTACAATTGTGAGACACCATCTGCTGTGTCCTGTGACATGTGGTGGCTTCTTTAAAATCTCATTACCCTTTTTTGCATGGCAATAGTGGACTGCAGTGAAAGAAACTTGACAAGAGTTTAGCACCCGATAGATCAAGGCCAGACCATTTGTTCCTTTCTTCCTCGTTCAAGATGCAATTGTCCGTGCACATGATTTGTCTAGTTCAACCACTTTTTAGGCAGACCATTGGCTTTGTTTGCCGCTATTAATGATATCAGATGATCTGGTGAGGACTAGGCCACCCAAAACATACAGCAATGCACGAACACAACCAGCACAAAAAAAAAAAAAAAAGAGAGAGAGAGAGACGCTGCACCGAGCGAGCAAAGGCAAGCATGAGACTGTGCCTGGATGTATTTTAAAGTGGAACCAAACAGAATACTAATAATTGTTGAGGTTTAAGGTCACAAAACTACCATACAATTATGAGGGACACTGTAGTGGTAGGCTCCGGAAATTTCGACCACCTGGGGTTTTTTCGTGCATCTAAATCTATACTCTGTTTCACCACTTTGGTTCAGCCCTACCATATAGCAATGGGGTGTAAGAAAGCCACATGCTTGCGCAGCGAAACGTAGTCCCACATACAAGTGCCTTAAAATTGACAGAGTTCACTAGAATTGGCGTTTCTTTGGCGTTTTATGCCATCTCAATACAGGATATCCTTATTCTTCTTCGCATTCATTTCTTACGCATTCAATTATTTCTTTCGGTTACCGGCGATAACTCTGTTTACAAATAAACATGGCAGCACCCATGCAAAAGTGACTGCCCGCTTCGATCCGGACTTGCTCTTGCTACACGTTCACTGCGCTGACAGCAGTAAACAAATGGTAAAATCAGCCATCGATTTGTTTCATCTCACTGTGGGACTAAAGCATCAGGTACGTTTTGTCGATATTAGTGAGATATGCTGCTTGCTTAGCCACACCTTCTAAGCCTAACATCGCGAGGCAGTGTGTGAACTGCATCGTCAAACCAAGAACGCCGCATCTTCAAATATTGAACATGCCACCTCACACCGCATTCCGTTTGCATCGGATCCTCATTCGGTGGAAACAATAAAGAGAGAAAAGGAGCGTTGCAGTGGGAGATGCGAAGGAACGCATCGACGAAGAACAAGACTTACAAGAGCGACGAACAGTGTCGGAAAGAAACAGCCACAAAGTGAAGTTTTCCGCCGGCATGAGATTCTACCAAACTTCAGCAGAGCGAAAATTCACGCTTCTTCAAGTTCCCGGTGTAGTTGCTTGTTCAATAACTTTACTGCATTTTTAAGTTAGTAAACTAGCCATAATAACTAAAGTTCGGTGAGCAGACGCCGTGAATATGGTGAGCAGACGACACAGCGCGAATGAATGCATGTGCAGAAGCTAAGTGCCCTTCCTATTGGCTGAGGGGCCTGTAGCCTCCACAGTGCTGAAGGGAACTTCTGAAACAGAGTATAAGCACACATGCCTCAAGCATTTTTGCCTCCATTAAAAATGTGGCCACCACGGCCGAGATTTGATTCCACGACCTGTGGGTCAAGAGCCGAGTGCCTTAGCCACGTGACTACCATGCTGGGTCGAACCAAATAGAATAGGTACTTGCTCTATTTCACAGTATACAACTGAGAGTGCTAAAATTACCGTGTTGTTTTTTTCCAACTTTTTAAAAACCAATCATCTTCGAGCAAAAAAACTAATGCTGTGTTTATAACTTTTTTAGCATGACGTTTCACTGACGTCACATGTTACTGCCTATGACAGCCGGTAGTGCCACATGGTCGCTTTGGAGCCCCCCCAAAAAACCACGATTTCAAACAGGAGTCATTAATTATAGATTGAATACACCACTGAAACATTTTGAAATTGGCATGTCTAATTTTTATTGAAGCAAGAAAAATTACAACCAGGCAGTTCGATTTTCTTAGCCTGACCCCTTCAAATCTTTGTACAGAAATGTAATGAAAAAAAAGTTTGTTTATGCCACACAATGAAAACACACTGTATGCGTGCATGTACAGGGTCATCTACTCTTGGCGTGAACACTTCTCAGTGCAGCTGCCTCTGCAGAGTGCCAGTGCCAGTGAACCTGACACCTGCACACAGGGACATGCTACTCTTGCTGTACATCGCAGCAAAGGACCTGTGGCGTGTTGCAGTGCTGCAGCGAACAACGCGAAGCAACCATCATGGATCCCCTTGCCAGCATTGCTTTACTTCGAAGCCTGGTGGCGCGTGATTCATGGGCACTACATGGAGCATAGCCACGCTAAGCCATGTCACCCTAAGAGTAGGTAGATGGCCCTGTGCATGCACTTATCACAGTTTGACATAGCCAAAACTTGCAGACTACTGCTGCCGCTAATATGTTACAAGCATGCATGTCAGTGCATGCAAGCATAGTGGCCCCATTTAAAAAATTTTTTAATGACAACAAACAAATCAATTTCTGCAAACTTACTCTGATGGTGGTGAGGATGATCTCCAGGGCTTCGTCTTTTGAGTAGGTTTCTTGACTGGCAAACTCTAGTTGAAGCAGCTTAAATAGCACATTCATAACTTTTTTCAACTGTAAAAAGCAATGAGAATTGTTCTGTGTAATGCCAATTGAATGAGAGTTCCTAAAATTCTAAAACCTCGGAAAACAACGAAAGAGACACCATGCTAGTTTATGTTACTAGTAATTGAACAATTGTATTGCAGCTGATTTCATAATGATAAGTTGGCTATTAGAAGTGAAAAATGAAGGCGATAGTCAATATTCTCAAATTTCGCACTATAGCCCCACTGCTTGTACATCATTAGGATGTGCCAGGTCGTGATGCATATTACCCCACCTGAGCTGTGTTGTCTCAGCAAATGTTGCCTAAACTTGGTATGTTCTATCTGACTTTATTAGAACACTTACAGTTTAGTTTTACAGATGAATATTTAGGTATGCCTTGGCAGACACTTTTTGCAGTGCACTGATGCAGGAGTTTGGATGTGGCGTCACCGTCTGGCTTTCCTTGCTGCCCGTAGTAACAGTGGTATAGTCTCAGTATTCTGAAAGGGCCGATGCCATAATGCATGTGAATAATATTTATCTTTACTATCCTTGCCTGGTTTAGTGAAGCCCCAGGATAAAGCTAAACTGACATGCCAGTTACACAAGGTTTACCTAAAAAAAAACACACACAGTGTGCTGGCGTGTCAACTGGCATTTGGAGCCTGCCTCATGCTTGCCACCATGTTTGCAGCTAGTTATAGTACTCATTATTGATACAAGCTAGAGATCACTGTACTGGCTCACAGTCATTTGTCAAGCACAGTGATCGATCACTCTGTACACATTTAAAACATCCACTGTAGCAGTATTGGTTAGCTCCAGTTAATTGTGCGCCTCTTCTAATAGAGATTTGGGAGAGAGTGCACTGCAGTAGCCATATGCTAGGCTTTCATTGTGCAATTCTTAGGCAAAGCCAAAGGCCACCAGGTCGATTTCGTCCACACACATACACACAAAAAAAAAACAAGTTGTCCGAATAGTTCAATGCTTGGTGCAGAAGAGTACGATGTCATGGAGCTGAGTACAAACATAAAGCCAGAAAGATTGGTGTCCTGTTCTATCTCAAGATTAACATGACATTGAGCTATACTATCATTATAGTGCCTAAGTTCGTAAGCCTCATGACAGGATGTTCACTTTATGTGTTCCATTGAACTAAAGTGCTTAACCCCTTTGTAGGTTTGCCTATAGTTTTGACACAATGCTATAAAACTGGCTGTGGTACATTGATAGAAGCGACAAAAAATAGTATAAAACAAATTTCATCGAAATCAAACCAATACTTTAATAAAAAAAAAAAAGAGGGACATGTATGTCCTACTGACTCATGAGAGTGTTTATCAAAAAGTAAGCAAACAATGCCCCACTGACATTGTGAAGGCACCGTCTCGCAACTGCATCAATGGGTATTTGGAATGAAGAAGCAAAAGCAAGTGACAGAGTATCGCTTCTCAAGTTATGCTGACGAAAGTTGTGTGGATCTCATTCCTCACAGTAGAAAACTACCTGCGCTTGTGCCTCTTGTGAGCCTTTACACCACTGAGGTCTGTTCCTGTAAAGATTACTTTGCCGCATGCACAAAACATTTTTTTTTTCCATTTGCCTGTCCTTACTTTGGCTGTCCGAATCGTTGAATACAGCTGTCTTCCCTGAGTGTGTGCCTCCTTTTCGAGAAGGGCATATAATAAAGAAAAATATTCCCAAGCACCAATATCTGAAATTATACTGAAAGATGAGTGTTGCAATTTCACAGGGGATTGCGTTTTGATTCATTTATCGGTCAAGTTATCTTGCAAATTTACAAAAACACATGATAACTGGAACCTAAAATGGCCTCTTTGAACAACAAGAAAAAGAGAAAATCATCCAGCATTTTGATTGAGAAATTCTCCCTACCTGGAGAAGAGATAAATTCGGAAGCTATGATAAAAAATTGGTTGAAATTCGATGCTATTGTAACACAATTTCCACCTTTCGAAAGCACGGTAAAAAAATTTTTTTTTTAAAGATTACGAAGACTTGGGTAACCCATCAGTGACTTAGCATGGCTATAATTGAAAGTGGTGATGTGAGAAAAAATTTTTCCGCCATCGAAAAAATGGGACGTACATGTCTCGCTGTCTCGCAAAGGGTTACTGTTTTTATTTAAATATCACAGTGTGAGGCCTGGGCAAGTCAAGCAATTATTTTCAGGGCATTATATTCCAACATCCCCTCTGCTACACAGTTTTGTCAGTCAACTTCCTGTTCATTCACTTGATTTGCTATGTAAAAGCACACACTGCCAAATGGCCTTCACTTGCACACAATGGCAGAACATGGCTAAACACAGCATTACTGTTCCGAACAGCTGCACCACGCAACACGCTCACTTTTTCTTTCAAGGCCATCACATTTCACCTTCATATGGCTGCTTTATCATTGGTGGTCAACGAAGTCTGGTACTTAGCATTCCTTTTCTAAATGTGCATTCAACTCGCTTCCTATAATGTAGACCTTTTCACATCTCATTCCCACAAGTTAAAAAGAAAGCCGAAGAGAAAGCACGCTACTTCTCCACAATGCTAGATGATTAATGTTTATCCTCCTGAGTACCAGCAATAGGAAATTTGTCCAAAATATTGGACATCGAAGACCGAGCGATTACAGCTTTTCCAAAGCTCCTATCGCCGTAAAACCGGTTGTCTAATACCTTGGACAACTGGTGCTGCCATCTGCACCGTGGTTTTGAAATTAGAGGTCTCGAAGCGCCGCTAGGAGTATTCATAATGGCGGCGTTCAGTGGTGCGGCGTTCTACGGTGTCAACCGCAATCGTAAGTACTTTTGTTCGCACTTCGAGCTTATTTATTGTCATTTCATCGGTTAAACGTCAAAGATAATGTTGCAGAGAGCACACGCAGCTAAATATTTCAGCTCTTAACGTCCTTTCTTTTGCCTACGTGGTGTGAGCTTTGACATGTCCAAAAGATTGGACGTCGGGACTGAACTAAGTTGCTTTGTGTGAATTACGTGGCGCGCTGCAATGTGAACAGAACGTGCTTGCTTCCGATTGCTACTAGGTTGCGGTATGATATGAAGTTCTTTTTCATTTAGGAAAAAGGCCACGCGTCGGTGATGAGACGACCGAAAGAATCCTTGAACGAATCGCTGGAACGGCCACGTCCAACATTGATCTTTCGGACAGTGACGACGACACTTTGATAGACACTACATTTTCGGCTCCACTTGACACCCTGAGCTCTGAAGAGGACAAAAATAGCGACGATGAACGCCCGTCCACCTCGAAGACGACAAAGGGGCAGTCATGGAACCGCCATGATGGGTAAGGAATAGTAGTAGTATGCGTTTTGGGAAGGGGGGGGCTAATGTACTGCAGGAGTGTGCATTGTGACGGTCGGTCATTGCCATGTGAACGGATCAAAAGCAACTCTGCTCTTTTACGCTGTTTTTCTTCATGCAGGCCGCTTCCGTCTTGAATTCCCGACTTCACATCCAACCCTGATGACAGTCAACAACGGGTTTCGTGGAGTCCAAGTGACTACCTCGTTCAGTATGTGCCACATGAAGTCTTCGAGATGATGGCTTTTGCTATGAACACGACACATGTCCAGGAGATTGGAAAAAGTCTGGAGACCTCAGTAGAAGAACTCAAAATGTTTTTTGGGATTTCACTGACAATGTCCTGCCTGTGCTACCCGCAGATTCGCATGTACTGGATGAAAAAGACAAGGGTGCTTCTTGTTGCAGATAACATGAGAAAGAACCGGTACTTTCAACTTCGGCGTCGGCTGAAGCTAGTTAACAAACTTGATGTAAGTGAGCAAGAAAAAGAGAAAGACAGGCTTTGGCACATCAGACCACTGGTGTCATTTCTACTGGAAGGGTGTCACAAGCTTCCTCGGGAAGAGAATGTCAGCATCGACGAAGAAATGATCCCGTTCAGTGGATGAACGCAGCTGAAGCAGTTCGTACCATGCAAGCCAAACCCAGAGGGGCTTAAAAACTTTGTGCTCGGAACGCCAGGTGGATTAATCCTCGATTTTGAGATCTATCAAGGAAAAAAGGCAGCATTGTATCCAGGCAGCTCTGAAATAGGAGAATCCGCAGTGCTGAGGCTCACTGAGACGCTCCCTCCCGGAACGAAGGTCTACTTCGACAGATACTTCACATCAGGGCCGCTGCTGGATAAGCTAGCAGAAAACGGAATCGCTGGCATGGGAACAATTATGAACAACCAGATCCCAAAAGGGGTGAAACTATCCAGCGAGAAAGAGCTAAAAGAAAAAGGAAGAGGGACGTCAGAGATGTTTGCGAGAAACGACAAAAAACAGGCAGTTGTACGTTGGTATGACAATAAGCCCATTACGTTGATGTCCTCTATCCATGGCCAGCACCCACAAGACACATGCTGTAGGTGGTCCAGGAAAGAAAAAAAAACACATTGATGTGCCCCGGCCAGATGTTGTACGGTTGTACAATGTCAACATGGGAGGAGTTGATCTCGCAGATCGTATGATCAGCTATTACAGAATCAAAGCTTGAGTGAACAAGTGGACCATCAGAAGCATCTTCCATCTATTCGACATTGCGTTAAGCAATTCATGGATGCAGTACGTGCAAGACATGCGGGCGCAACAAAAGCGCCAGAAAGAGATCATGAAATTCCTGGAGTTTCGTCTGTATGTTGGTGAGGAACAAATCGCGCAAGCTCAGAGTCAAAATGAAGCGGAGAGTGACTCCGACGAAGAGTGATGCCCACCACCAAAAAGGGCTCCATTGCCTCCAGTCGAAGCAAGAGCAAAGACGCTAAGCCATTTCCCAAGACTGACAGATGCTCCGAAAGCGGCCCGCTGCAGGCTTCGAAAGATGCAACAAGAAGACGAAGTACTTCTGCACAAACAGTCATTTGTTCTTTTGCATCACCAAAGACAAAAGATGCTTCGAAAATGCTCGCACCAAGTGAATGAAGGAGCTCACACAAAGTGAACAAAGCAGTTTGTAAATAAAATGTTCCTACGTT